ACAAACTTTGATAGACATAGCTCAATATTTCCCCTAAAGACATATCTGAAGGTAGAGAATGATAGAGATATATACAGTAGAACAAGGAGAGCTCGAATTCGTCAGGACTGGCCTTGGTATCTTATCCGTGTTATACTGTAGTATAATCTTATCTCTTGACAGTTATAACTCTGACCAATCAGAGACAACGCAGGAGCTCAACAAAGGGTGACCACACAGCCTAACACACATTGGCCGCTCTTTGAAAGACACTGTCATAAGTCACTTTTCAAAATGGCTCATAACTTTTCAAAATGGCTCATATGTCACTTTTCAAAATGGCTCATAAGTCACTTTTCAAAATGCCGTATGACATAGTTTTACACTAACTAAGCAATTGACAAGGGAGGAAGAGAGATAGACGGCTAAGGGTAGAGTAGAAGGAGAGGCGGAGTGGATTTCTCTTGTCCCTCAAAAGACCAAGGGAGAACAAAAAATAATGCCAAAACAAATTCCTGTTCAATCTTCTGCTAGACATTACACGTGGCCATGATCCAATATAACTATAACTGCCTCACAGAATAATGTGCACCGCGAAAAATCTTCCACCCAATGTTTTATCTACAACAGATGTCGCCCTTGTATGCTAATGGGTGAGAGAAAGCCCAAAGCACCCTCCACATGCTGCATCAGGTGAAGAATCTCACAGCATGCATTACATGTTCGCACAGAGGTGGTCCGTGCAGAGAATGCAATTTACTTAACTTTACTTTTCCGATCCAGCAGCCATCTAGGATCTAGCCCTTCGGCCTGTCGATATGGGCAAAGAATTTTAAGGGTTTTTTCAGCCGTTTTCTTGCTGTATAAAGTATTCCCACCAGAGAATGTAGTATAAAACCACTTTTAACACACTGGGTAAATTCAGTGACTGTAAAAATTTCTTAACCTCTGACCCAGTTAACTGTGCCTCACCCCCCCCCCCCCCCCCCCCTCCTTCCTTCCTTCTTTTATGTATCTGTTGTAGAAGACAAACAGGGAACGTGACATAGAACTTGTAATATCACTGGAATAGCAAATGTTGCTTCCTTCCTCTTCTCCTAAAAGTTACTTTAGTCATCAGCGGTTTGTTGATGAGTGTTTTTTCTTTTTTTTTTTTTCCATACAAATCAGTTTTCAATGAAAAACTACATCGATTTAAAATATTCTAATGGTACAAAATGTCTTATAAGTTTAGCCTTACGCAAATGCTGTTGAGTTTTTTTCACTGCCGTTCAACAGAATTAAACAATAAACAAGGTAACAAACCAGAAGAATCAAATCATGCGAGCAAGCATCAAAGCCCCAGCCACAGAAACCCATCCTTTTTTCTTCTCTTCCTTGTCTTCTGTTCTACAATTCATCACTTCAGCCAGCCCCTTAGAAGGACGACACACCCTGAGAGGAGGAAAGAGTGACATGCACAGTTTGGGCTCAGTTTGCAACACTACTACGCTTATATCGTTGAAAATAAAAACACAGAGATGATGAAAAAGGGCGATACATTTTGTTTTGTTTTAATGATTAAATTTCGAAACAACATGGGCAACCAAGAACCTATTTGTAAGTTATTATAAGACAAATATTTCATCTACTGTGCTAAAGAAGTCATGGTTTGCTTTCAATAAATATGATCCAGCGAGCGACACCCTCATTATTAATTCATCCAAATATTTCAGGTCAACAAGGCTTGGACGTACAACAAAACTAGCGTGTAGTAGATGGCAACATGACATAGACTGCGTGTAGTGTGTAGCACTGATCATGTGTGCTCATCACATTGTCAAAACAATTTAAGTACACAGCAAAAGGTAACATTTCTTATATAATATATAGACCCTAATTTTCCATGTCTTTTTTTTTTTTTCAGATCAAAACCCATTTGAGACTCACATTGGGACTCGCACTCATATGACCTTATGCAGCAGCGAGCGCCATAGAACACTTAGCTTTAAACCAAGTTGGACTTATATCACAACACCAAGGATGTATTCATTCATCATATAAATAATCACCTCATCACAGCTCACAAAACACTCCCTTACACATCCGATCCCACCAACACGCCCAACTGATCACCATGGGCAGACACAAAACGCATTGCTCAAATCTGTATCAACACACGTAATCCAACACACTGAACAGACTGACTGAGTGTGAGTGTGTCTCCTGCCTAGCTTTTCAAGCCCACAACACATTTAATTTCAATGCTGGCAAAAAAGAAAAAAAAGGAAAGCAAGATAAGACCAAAACAGAGACCAGATGGGGCAAAGAAATGAAGCAAAATCTTCCAGTGGTGTCTTCGGACCATCCACAACCACTTTTAAGTTAGACGTTAGGCCTGCCAAGGGAGCAGAAAATGATGGAAATCTATTCAAACACGTGTCCTTTTATTCCCGCAAAGCAACAAGAAATGTCACAGCCACTTTCGAAAACAAATGACACACACACGTTCGCGCGCACACACACACACACACACACACAAACCAGACCAGACTAGACAGAAAGAAAAACGATAATCATGTGAAACGAGAAGATCATGAATGACTTAGCCACAACCTCAATCAGGAATCATGTCGATTTGGGAGATCATGCTTTCTCGCAAGCAAATTATGACACACTCGCAAATCAGGATACACAAAGTGTACATCTTCTCACCATACAAGTGTTATAACATTAATGAATAGGGCTCTTTTAAATGTCTATGCTAATCATACATTGCCGATGCTGTATATGAAAGTATGAAGGGGGGATAAATATTAAATGTGAGGCGTGCTGACAAAATGAGTTACTTCTCGCAGTCCACAAATGGGAGATATTGGCCAGAAAGTGACACTAGGGTCAAGTTTGTAGATTTTCTATTTATGCCATTTTCTTTAAGTATATATAACAAACCTTTTATTTCATACTTATAAATTATTTGTAAAACTTCACCTATAAGTGTGATGTATCTATTTCCTTAAGGCCTGAATCCGAGAAGTAACTCATTTTGTCAGCACGCTTCACAAATGCTTATGAAAAAAAATAGGCAATATATAAAAAATAGAGCAGAGACATGCACAAAAGTGACAAACATTGGTTATTCTAGGTATCAGAAGCTAACTTAGGAATGGAACTGAGGCATGAAAAAAATACACAAGAATCATAATCTCCAAACTCAAGCCTAAAAAAAAAGGCTAAAATATCTCCCCAAGATCCATTTGAATTAAAGGAACTTGCAGTCGTTCCATTTCACCACCCTCGCGAACACTCAGAGTTAAGTAAACAGAAAGACAGAGAGCTTCCTGACCATCAATGATTTATTTATAGACAAAAAAGATATTATTAATCCGAATACAGGAAAAAGAGGCTAAAACAGCACCTGGACATGGATGACTGGTGCCTCTATAAATAAATCATTGATGGTCGGTCGATTTATTTATAGAGGCACCAGCCATCCATGTCCAGGTGCTGTTTTAGCCGCTTCTAAAGTCTCTCAAAGGGACAGGTAATTTACATCAGAATCTTCCGAAAAAAGGTAACTCCAGTGAGCATGGATAGAGAACTCAACCATCCACACGTCAGCCAAGTCAACAAGCACCAATGCAGACAAATAGCATGTAGTAAAAATAATGGGTTTAACATTTTTTTAACCCTATTCGTGCTTCGTGTTTTACTATTGTATCCGTACGACGTGGGGAACTCTCTGCCACCACTTTCCAAAGAGGAAATTTACTCATTAATCTGATCCCTACGCTTTGCATAGCAGTCTGTCAAAGTAATTTTTTGAGAAATACTGAAAATTTCAAAGAGATCTTCGCACTAGAAGTATTCTAAAATGTGAAGAATGTAACCCCAAGGGTACAAAATGACCCCAGGGCGTACGGACAGGGTTAAAGAGCAGACGAGAAACGTCCACCAGTGGCCTTGTCTAGTTATTATCCCTCTTCCCCTCCCACCTCTTTCTGATCAGTAGGCCTACAATAAATGATAATAAATGGAAGACCAACACTAAATCACAATGTACCAGTCTCTGACTAAAGAAAAAAGTGGGCTTTGGTGCCTTCATATGCTTGCAAGTTTGTTATAAGAGCGGACTTTATTATATATATATTACTATTGCGTGAAGCAGTTTAAGCTCAAAACAATAACTTTACATAACCCTGATCCCAAGCATTAATCTTAACACTAAAGACACTCACCAATTTAGTGTCTTTAGCACAACCCAAATATCCGCCACGTGAATGGCCATCTATGGGGGGGGGGGGGAGGACGGGTAAACTAATTTATTTTCCGATGAGCGGATTTGATAAAAATTATTTCAAAACAGAGAAAACAAACAAGGCATGCAGGTGAGCAAAGCCAACCACCAACTGACTAGACTAAACTGCGCCTTTTTTATTATAAATCATTACAGAACAGAGTCCACATTCCTCCTGTCAGTTTTTTCCCCCTGTGTCTTCCCTAGCTGTAAGCCGGTCATACCAAACAAAAGCGTATTATATTATATATATATATATATATATATGTATGGTACCTAGAAAAAGAGAGTTTGCCAAATAGCAAGTAAACTGTGTAAAAAACGAAATAGATCTTTACTTAAGCCAAAGCATGCTTTTCTGATTTCTGCAGAGCCTTCTTTTACATTTCCTCACCGCGTATTATTTTTTTAACAAATTACAGTATATATAATCACACGGTGTAGGGACAGCCACCTGTCTAGTACAACCACTTTTCCCCTACATTGGGTAGCCTGGACATCACATCTTCTTAGACAGTATTGACTGTATCTTATTTCTGGGATTCTTTTTTTCTTTTTGCTTGGTTTGAATTTTTAAAAATTAATTGATTCTTATTGCGGGGGGGGGGGGGGGGGGAATCCCTTTCCCATAAAATCATCTCTTGAAAAATAAAATAGTAAAGTAGCGGTACTGTGTGTAAAAATTGTAATTATAAATCATTATTAAAGCTAGCTGTCAAACACAACCAAAGACACACTATTTAAGTTATTTCATCAGATGCTTTGTTTTATCTGTAATATAATATGAAAATGAATATCTCGTTGTGTGGAGAAATAATATTATAAATAACAAAATCATCACTTTGAAAAACATGAGGCAAACTGACAAAAGAAATCTTACTTTGGTTATTTGTTGTTTTTTTAATTTTTATAAAACGTACTATTTACAGTATTCATAACAGTGGATACAATTTAATTTGATCAGGAGAGCAGTAAAATCTATACCATGAAATAAATTACGGCAAGACATTTGTTTTGTCCCTTTGATGTAACCAACAGCGTACGTACAGTGATGACCTATAGCTGTCCCCATGGTTTTATATGCACCCCGCGTAATTTAGCAAAATTTGATCATTTTTTGCTTTAATTTCTTATTATTTTCCTTTATCATTCTTTGTTAATTAAAATTAACAGAATAGCATAATTTCACTTTTTTGGGCTCATTTTGCATAATTTCAGAATTGTTCTTGCTTAAAAACGAACGGGAACAGCTATAGATTGACCAGTAGCACTGACAAGACAACATGTGACTAGGCATACTGAAGACATCCACTCCTCACTACTCGCTGACACCAGTTCCCCTCCTCAAAAGTAAGTAAGTGTTTTAAAGCTTAGGTTTCACGCGCCTATCAGCACTTCTATTCTTAGGTTTATATCCAAAAGGCAGGACCTCCAAATTCAACGCCGATCTGCGACAGAATCGGGTCAAACGGGTTGAGAGCTTTGAAAACTCCACAAAACGGGATTCGAACCTGGGCTTTCTGCTCCGTAGCCCAGCATGATACCAACTGAGCTAACAGTTACCCTTTCCACCCACAAATGTAAAGAGAAGGGATTTTAAAAAGGACATATGCGGGGTATACATATCTGCCTTTCACACTCAAAGGTACCGTAATAGGTTTACGCTTTCTAAAACTTTCTGTGTAGAAGTAACCTATAAAAATTCAAGAAATAACCAGGCCAAAACGACTCTCTGAAAATACTTCTCTGACATCCCTTCAAATTTCTGGATTTCACACTGTGAGAACAAAATCCTGTACAAGCTTTGCTACGCCCCAGATGGAACAATTTGAGGCAATGTTGTGTGTAGTAGTAAACAAACGACAATAAAAAAACATGGTGTTTGAACAACAAAAGAAATAACAAAACATGAATTCAAGATTTGATTTTCACGCGATTATTAAATATGTGTACAAACCACTACAGCATTTATTGTTAACAAATTATCACTATAAGACGACTGAAACAAACAAGATATGATGATGGTTTAAACACCATGACAAAACAGGAAATATTCCTTCACGAATTGCGTTCAAACCTCACCACCACGACGCATCGAACGAGAGGAATATAATTCAGGTGTGAAACAAATCCCATCAAATAGCATCAATCACGAAAGCAGCGATTTTTTTTAAAACATAATAAAATAACTAATTAACTACTACATGATCTACACACAGGAGTCTTTTTAAACTACATATATATATATATCTATGTTGGGAAGCAGGGTGGGGGGATCCTTTCCTATCAGCTTTTTCATCTGGGTACTATCTCCTTAGAAGCGAAGGGAGGTGGAGCGGAGAGTAGTATAGTATTTCTCCTTAGCTGCGGGGTAAGAGAGGGGGGGGGGGGGGGGCATTACAATGTCTGTAGCTGAGGCTACTGAGGAAGAAATGTCACCATTTGCTAAGATATCACAGCTCGAGAACAGCCACCAGCTAGCACGCTATCTCACTGTCTAACTGCATCTCTTTCACCCTGCTGGGGTCCTTGCCCTTCGACGGGCCCGCAGCCTGACTATTCTGTGGCGCCGGACCCGAGGAATTGTTCGTGTTACCGCTACTGCCGCTAGAGGGCTGCGAATTGGAGCTGGGGGGGTTTCCAGAAGGCATGTTCGTCTCCCCGGCCACTGCTTTTAGTTCTAAGAGATCGAGGGTGGCCTCTATGAGTTTGACGGCCTGTTTCCGTGCCTGCCTCACGTTGTCCATCGAGCCCGACTCGACGGAATCCAGCTTCAAGAGGGAGCGGGTGAGCATCTCCTCCAGGTACTTGTACTCCTTGTCCGTCTTCTTCCCCCGGAACGGGTTCACCTGCTCTTCCAGCGACTTGACCTCGTTCATCACGCCGTTGATTATGTCAAACGCTTTCTCTTCCGGAGTTCTCGGGGGCTGCGGCGAAGGCTGACGCGGTGGTGGTTGTTGTTGTTGTTGCTGTTGTGGTGGTGGTTGTTGTTGCTGTTGTTGTTGTTGTGGAGAGGGCGACGGTTGTCGAGCCGGCTGCTGAGGGCCGAGCGTAGCCTGAGGAGGCAGCGTCGCTTCGTGACTGTTATAATCCGGGCAGGGCTCCTGCGGGCGATGCTGTTGCTGGAACTGCTGTGCCGACTGAGGGATGGCCTGGGAGAAGTCGGGTCGCGGGCTGGCCCGTGGGCTATTCCGCGGGCTGCTTTGCATGGGCACCTGCGGGCGTGGGCTTGCCCTGCCAGGGCTTACTCCGCGATGGTTTTCCCGAATGATGGGAATATTCACCGGCCCCCTCGGGGACTGTTGGTGCTGTGGGGGCTGGTGAGGGGGGTTCTGAGGGGGTTGGTGGTGGTGGTGGTGACCACCGTCATGGGGCATGGGGCCCGACTGGGGGTAGGTGGAGTAGTCCACGCTGGCTGGAGGGGGGAACTGCTGCGGCTGCGGCTGCTGCTGCGGCATCCCCTGTGGGTGTGGGTACTGCATCTGGGGGTGGGTTTGTGGGTGCGGGTAGTGCATCTGCTGTTGCGGGTGCTGGGCGTGCGGTGGGTGCGCTTGCGGGTGCTGGGCGTGCGGCGGGACGTTATCCTGACCCATGTGCTGTATCGGAATCTCCCACACATCGCCTCGCTTCCGTGGCAGGGTGCCCGACTGGGACTGGTAATCCATGGGCTCGGGCGCCGGGGCTGGGTATGGCTGGGGCGGCCCGCCGGGAGGGTGGTGGTTGTGATGCTGTGGGGGGGCAGCGTTGATGCCGTGACCCATTTTGTGCGGGTCTTTGGGGCCTTCGTACCTCACGGGGATCTCCACCGTCTTGCCTTCAGGTACACCCCCACGGAAGCCAGAGTACGGGTGCTGCTGATGACCCTGAGAAATAGACGACAAACACCAATTAAAGAGGAATCACTGTAAACTTCTCAGTATTAACTACGATTATATGTGTGTATAAAAGAACATACTACTAACACTTACAATAAACTACTGAAGCTGAAAGAAGCTGCATTACTTGAAAAAAAATCAACAAAAAGTTAAAAGCCTTAACCCAACCACCCCCACCCCCCCCCCCATAAATCTCTTCTGTTCAGTTGAGGCTTTTATAAATGATACATATATGTCAAGGCACAGTGGAATCAGGCTCTCATCAGTTTTTTGACATGTGAAGTTATTGGTATATCATTTTAAAGCTTGTTCATTTGTCTTGCTTTCAATGAAAAAAAATACTCATCTATCATGAACAGAATCGAAATATTTGTGATTGAAGGACGTGGGCGTCGCCTGGTTTCAGAGAGGTAATATTAGCGAGAAAATCGCCGCATTTCCAAAGCTTTAGAGTCCTTAGAAACTGCAAATTTACATTTCTGTGCCTTAAATCAACATTTTTCAGTAAAATCCACACAGCAATGTGTTTTTAAATGGACCTTACCCTAAAGATGTAGAGTCAATAGACAAAAATTAGATAAAAATTCCCAGACAGAAAAATGCGAGTTTCTTTAATTTCATTATTTTGACGAGCACCTGATTTCACCACGATGCCTCATACACATATATATATAACCTTTTTAAGGGGAGGAATTCCGTAACAAGTGACAACTATGAAACAAAATAGAATAGAGAGTTAGGGTAAGGGTTAGGGTTTGGGGTAGCGTTAGAGTTAGGGGTAGGAGGGGTAACGGTTACGGGTAAGCGTAGAGAGGGTTAGGGGTTGGGCCAGGGTTAGGGTTAGATCTCTTCTATTGTGTTTGTTGGGGTAGTTGCTCGTTATGGAAGTCCTTCCCTTTATTTGTGATTAACAAACACCTACACTTACAGGTCACAGTCACAGAAAATTTCATACATTTACACAAGAGCCGTCTCATTCACTTGACAGTAAACAAGGCTATGGATTAAGTTAGAAGCCTTCTAAGTATTGTTATTGCTGTTATAGACTTCCTTTACTAAAGTAGCCTTTTTTATGTATTCTCCTTAGCAAAAAAAGAAACATAAAATCATTCAGATCTAGACTCTAGATCTATTAGATCTAGATCTAGATCTAGATCTAGATCTATGTCACATAGAGATTTGGGAAGAAATACAAGATAGGCCTGTGTACAGCATAAAAATAGAAACCCATTTAAATTAATAGACTAAATTTTAAGATTTAAAATAATAAAAAACAAAAACAACCAAGCCTACAGTAGTAGATCTAGATCTAGATCTAGACCTAGAGATTTTTAATCTAAATCTGCACTAGACTTAGATAGATTCTTGATCTAAATCTAGATCTAGTCTAGATTAGTAAAACTCCATCTTTTACTGACCAAAAAAAATGTTTTTTATTCATTTAATTTATAACCTTCAAAATTACAACACAGACCAGCACTCTGCCAAACAAACAGTTCCTTAGACACAAAGAACAGCTATCTCAAGTCGTATCTACTTGAGTCATCCTGCCACAGAGATGGTTTTGACATATTCTGTGGACAATAGACAAACTGACACACTATACGGCTATAAAGTATTGAATCACAGTGTCAGGTAGATCTACGCTGCAGACTACAGGAATGGTCGGCAGGCAGGCAACCAGCTGACATGGTCGGGCTGGCTACTTACCATCATATTTCTCGGATCTTGCCACGTAGTATTTCTTGTATTGTGGTCAATGAAGTATGGCCATCCTGACACATTATCAAATCTCATTTCCCAACCTGTAGGTAACGGATCGTTCCTCATTTGTGCTTGGTTAAAAGGCATCGTAAAGAACTGACGATCTGCCATTTTCACGACTTATATGATGCGAGTTCTCTTCTCGAAGCATCCGGATGGCGATACTTCCGGAATGAGCGCCGCCCACCGAGACTCTTCCTGAACTTTCCCCAACAAAGAAAGATAACTGGAGAAATCGCTGTGCGAGTCGATACCATGATTCTCGGTCTACTGTTTTTACGATACTCCAATTCTTTTTATTTTTACAATTTACATTAACCATCTTACTTTTCAGCAGACTCTTACTGCACGCCATTTAATCTTTAAATAGCCTGTATCAAGATCGGGTTAAAAAATATATTATCAGGATGAATATTTCAAGTACAGTGACAAAGTTTTATTTCATGAATGGCCTCTTTAAAATTATTGATATCGATGCCATCAATAATCAGCTTCAACATTCCATCACAAATTCAGGTGAACTCACAAACTCACCTGCCTCTGCTACCTGTATAACGGTCTGTAAATAGCAGGGGATGGAAAAGTAGAAATAAAGGCATACCTGTGAGTCCTGCGGGCCGTTGTGTCCTACGCACTCCCCTCATCTTGTAAATAGGCACTCCCTCTTTGCGTTCTGGTGTGTTTTAGTGTGTTGCTACGCCCCGACTATGTTGCTTTTCGCCCCTCAAATGCGCTCAAAACGTCCGTGATTCCCAAACACAACAGAACTATTAACCAAGATCTTATTCCATGAGTGTCTACTACGATGTCGATAATAATTTGACTAAATGAAACTCCAACGTCGTATTTTTCAAGCTTTGGAATGTACTGAAGCGTCTCTCAAATTTAGATTTTAACTGGGTGTGTTGCTGTTGCTTTGTTATTGTCTTTTGGGTGGGGGGTGTCTGTGGGGTGGGTTGGGGGTTTTTTTTTGGGGGGGAGGTGTTTGTTTGTTTGGTGAATGGTTG